GAGGTGGGGGCAGAAATGCTCCTCTGGGAGCAGGAAACTCTTGTGGGGAAGGTTTCTCTCTGGAATCACCCTGGAATGGGCAGAACTCTCCTGGGGGCAGGACTCGCCAGGGTCTCGTCCAGCCCCGAGGGAGGGAGGCAGGAGCAGACCTGGGCTGTGGGGTGTCCCATGTCCCCATCCCCACCATGTGCACAGCAGCGATGGGGCCGAGCAGTGACGCTCGATCTGCCGCAGCCTCCTCCTCACGCTTCAGCTCTGAGCCCTGGGGGATGAGATGTGTCACCTCAGGCTCCCCTCGGGGATAGTCTTCAGCATCATAAATGGGAGAGAGGGCATCCATGAACTTCAGCAGGAGCAGCCAAAAGCCCAACCTGCTCCATCATCATGCCCTGCACAGGGGCATCCTTAACAAACAATTTCTGTGGGTGCCTTGGAAGCACAGCCCCTGGCACAGCACCCGGGATCCCTCAGCAATCCTCACCCAGGTCACTTTCTGTGACCCCACTGGGAACAACTGGGAGCAGTGGCACCATCACAGAGCAGCACCTTCCTCTCTCTGGGAAGGACATCCTCAGGATCTTTGCTGCAGGACCATGGGCAGGTCTCACATAAACACCTCCAACCCACTGGAGGACAGAGTGTGCTGGATCCACCAGCCAGACTCGGGAACAACTGCCTTCAATCCCAAGAACATTTCATCTATTTTCTATGTGCTGGAGTTTTCTAAGCCAGGACAAGCTTCAATTTTTAAAAATAATACTGTGATACTGTTCTCAAATAACAATGATGAATAGGATAATCCAAGGAAAACATTTTCGAGTAGAGAGGTGGGTGCAGCCAGCAGCACCAGGATCTGGTTTATTAACTGCCATCCACATTAATTCATATACGCTGCCTTAAGAACAGATGGATTAGGAATAGTCTTTCTGTCAAGGAATGGCCTTTCCTGCTTGGGATGATCAGTTTTCTCAATCAGATGTGTTCCTTGCTGATAAAATGGGTTTTGTGTGCTTAAGTAATGCTGAGAGAAATAGGGTCAGGCAGGGATGTTATGGATGTATCAGCTCCTGGCCATGCCTGGGAAGCAGAAGCAATGTGGATTTCTTGGATTTGTCCATATTCCATGCTTTATCCTGCTCCAGGGAGGCCCAAGAGCTGACACCACACCTGTGAAAACATCTCACTGTCCTTCCAATCCTCTCCTGAAGTTTTGTAGGGAAGGGACACAAGTGGGAATGCAGCATTCTGGAGTGTTCAGAGCCATTGAGGGAGAACGGGTCAGGGCTGGGCTCTTTGGTCACTGTGTAAACCCCAAAGGAGGGGAGCAGGATTCCACCAGTCTGCCCAGTTTATCCAAGACTGGACAGGACTCCCAGGCACATCCTGGCAGTGCCCAAATCCCCACATGAGGAGGGCACAAGCCCTCAGGGGGACACAGGCCCCGAAATCACCATCAGCCCCTGGGCTGCCAGTCACTATTTCCCTTTGCAGATCCCCTGGAACCATTTCCTCCCCCATGGGGTGGCACCGCTCCTTCAGCAAGCTCTGAGTACTCATTTCAGCCCTAAAAAATAGCAAATACAGTTTTCAGCTGCTAGTCACCCCTCACTGCTCCTGTCACAGAGGTGTGGGTGGCTCTGGGAGCCCATGGTGTGGGCTGTGCTTGGGCACTGCTCAGTGGGTGTCTCCTGGGAGTGTTCCAAACCCTCTGAAATCATCAGAAAAACCCCTCCAACACTGTCTTTTCAGTGTCAGTGGCATTACTTTATCCTTGGCTGGGGTGTGTGTGGCCAACAGAGTTCCAGCCTCCACACAGACGGAAATACAAAATTTTTCACCTGTTTATACATCTTTAGGGAAAAAAAAAATGTTTAATTTGTTCTAAATTCCATAATTATAATTCTCTTTCATTTAATACTATTCTATCCTCTATTGGTTACTGATTTGCCACTTCTTATGTTAATTACTCCATCTTTTTAGTCTTCTATCTTTGGAAAGCAGGAACTTTCAACACATAGATGGAGTCTTTGTTAGCCTCTTCTTTATCTTCAGGTTTCTGCAAAATGTCCTTGTGGTTCATAAATTCGGCATTCCAGATGTCTAACCTCACCAATATGTTCTTCTCTCCCAGGCTTTGCTCATTGAAACATATCAGACTTACTTTATCAAAACTTCAATTTCAGTACTTTTCCCAATCTGTGTTCCTATGAAAGTGGCTCATGGCAAGTTTGGTAAATGCTGGCAAAGAGTAATTTAAAAATAACACACTATTTATAGTTTATATATATAGGTTATGACTAATTAAAGCAATTAATTTAAAAGTTAATTAAAACCATTAACTAAAATTATTATTTAAAAGTTCCATTGTTTCCAACAGGGAGGTGCGTCAGGGCAATTATCTCAGAGTTCCTCCTTACTGGTAGCACTGGGGGGACCTGCAATCACCCCAGAACCCTTTTTACTGGGGGGGCAATTGCCTTAGAGACCCTCCCCACTGGGAGGACTGGGGGAATCCCCTCAGAGCCCCTCTTTACTGGGATGACTGGGAAGGGCAGTTATCTCAGAGCCCCTCTTTACTGGGATGACTGGGAAGGGCAGTTATCTCAGAGCCCCTCTTTACCGGCAGGACTGGAGGGCGAAATGGGGCACAGTTACCTCAGGGACTTGCATTACAGGGAGGACTTGGGGGGCAATTCCCTCGGAGATCCATGTTCCTGGGAGAGCTGGGGACACGCTTACTCAGAGGCCCTGGTCACTGGGAGCACTGGGGAGCCAGCTGCCTTAAAGGCCTTTGTGACTGGGAGCTCTGGAGTAGCGCTCACCTCAGGGACCCTCAGGACTGGGGGCACTGGTGTGTGTGGGGGGGATCCCCTCCTGTTACTGGAGTTAAGTAACTCTTACTGCTCACTTACAGTTACCTCGCCGGCCCTCAGTGCTGAAGAGAACCCCCTTAGGACCCCCCATTACTGGCGGGCCTGGGGCAGGGGGGAAGCTCCTCAGGCAGGGGCTTCACCTGTTAATGGGAGAACCGGGAGGAGGCAATCTCTCAAACACCCCCATTACCGGGAGGGGACAATTACTGCACAGCTCTTCGTACCTAGGGGGGATCTTCCCAGGGACCCGCGGTAGCGGGAGCGCTGCGGGGGCTCCCCTCAGGACTGGGGAGTTATGTCACACCCCCCGGTGACGTCAGAGCGGCGCGCGAGGTCGCGGGGTGACGCGCGCGGGGCGGGCGCTGTGGCGCTGTCC